GATTTCACAGTATAATTTTGATATTCAGACAGTCTAGGATGATTGATTTTTATGATTCACTTTTTGAAGTACACATAACTCTCGGATTTAAATCCGAAGTTTCCGCATTTATTTTTAATTCTTTTTGCTGACTTGATTTTGTTCGCTCACATCTCTTTTCTCATAGTCAATAAACATCAATACTGACCTTGTTCTTTTCATTCTTTTTGCTCATTAACTTTTTTATCGCATAGTTTATAATACGCGATAGCGTTATCATCATATATATATATAAATAATATACATATGTATTTCTTTTATTCATATTCAGAATGGTTAGTGCTGGCATTCTCTTCTTTTCAGTTCTTTCACGCTTTCGTTCTCTTCTTGATTCATTCCTTCTTTTGTGCTTTTATCTTCATTGAAGCAAAAAATGAACTCACGTTTAAAAAAATACAAAACTTACAAAAACTTTAAGTCTTATCATACGAATTGTTCTCTTTCTTAATTGAACAAATGAGAAATTCTGATTGAAATTTCAAAGAAAAAAAGAGAGAACGTTCTTTTCAAATAAGTTATATAATTTGTAATGCTCTTTTTCTTTTCTAATTTATTTTGCGTCGAATTCTTTTCTTTGTCTAAATGATGCGCTATCACATGGGCACGTGCATGTGCTTGGTATGCCGAAATATACATAACGACTTGCTGTTCTTCCTGTTTCATCTTTCTCTCTCTATTTTTCTCCCTGCTTCGTCTCTCTCTCTCTCTCTCTCTCTTTGTTTCTCTATCCTATATAAGCTTGTGTTGAATGTAAAGTAGCTAATGTTTTCATAATTTATGTATAACAATGATTGTATGATTTCATTTGCTCTTTAGTAAAGTATTGTAACAATTTTAGATATAATTTCTTTATGGAACAAATCAAACGACCATTGAATAATATTTTCAAGTTTGATGATCAAAACAAGAGAAAAAAAATACCAAGTAAAACTATCTGTAACTTATTTTTATTTTAAATCGAATTATTTTTTTCCTAGTAACAACAGTTGAAGCAAACAGGAATATCAAAAAGTAAGAAATTTTTCTTTTTCATAACTTAACTAATTCTTATTTATCAAATTATTAAGAACGATTTTTACAAAGTTTGAAGACCTGTTTAATGAACTTTTATACGAAATATTCGAATATTTGGATATGTATGATTTATATAAAGTTTTTTACAATCTGAATATACGATTTCGTAATCTACTTGTTAATTCAAGTCTTCCAATAAAAATCAATCTTTCATTCATATCAAAATCGAATTTTGAACATTTCAATAAAGACTTTATTTTACCTAACATGCATCGAATTACTTCCTTACGTGTATCAAATCCTATGATTTATGATTTAAATATTTCTCCGACTCATATGATATCGAAATTTGTTCAACTTAAAAGACTTTTTCTTGATCAAATTGAATCGATATATATGGAAAAAATTCTTCGTCAATTAATTTCTCTACCATTTCTAACTTCATTAACTATCTTTACAGTTGATTGTATTAAAAATATCAATGCTTTGTATCTTCAAATATTTAATCTACCTGCATTAAAATATTGTCAATTGTCATTGAAAGAAGATTTGACAAGAGAACTGTTACCAATCGCAAGTAATCAACACAGTTCAATCGAATAGAGTAAGTGGGGGTAAATGTATAAAAAAAATCAGACGGGTTCAGTATATTAGCTATAACTTTTTTATTTTTCATTATTTCAAAAAATTTTCTTCGCAAGTCATCTAGC